CTGCACTTTTACACGGGTCCTATTGGTTTGAAGAGGTGTATTGTGCTATAGATACCCTGGAGAGATTTTTTATTATTTCATTCATTCTGCAGATTAATGAGACAAAAATGTTCCCCTTATTTTCCCATCTGATATTGAAATGCAGCACAGTTAAGAAAAAGCCTAACTGGAAAGCCAACATTTTGATTCTTGTTGATCATTCCTAGAAGCTTAAAATACCTTTTCTTGAGCATTTACCTTGTGTGAATCTCTTATTGAGTGGCATCAGGCAGTCTATTATATGGTTAATCTGAATAGGCAGCGATTAGGCAAACTGTTACTGTTTCCACTCTATAGGCTCCAGGCATTCACGGGCAAAGATGTGGCTCTCCAGATAATAGGAAAAGTTTGAACTGGGTCTTAGCTAGTGGAGTGTGAACGATTGCTTTTTGAGTTTGGTAGGCAATAAAGAAAACCCAAACACCTAAAAAAACCCAACTGGTGGTTAACATAAAATGAAAATATTTCCAATTCCTTTTCAAGACAAAACACTACAAGAAATTAGCTTTTTTACATGCAAATCCAAGGCTTTGAATTCAAACTATTCTCTGCTCTAGTTTTTTTTTTAAATGAAACATTTCAAAATAAAGTGTATTGCACTTCAGAAAATATAATATGACTTCCAGTGGACTATATATTTATTAGATGGACAACACTTCTTTCAGTATTGATGTTTCTATCAAAATATGTTGTCAAGAAGATACGAAGCAGAAATCTTTCAGAACAAGAGGATTTCAGAGTTACTGAAATAGTCATCTTTTCCCTCTTCATAATTTAGCTCAGTCTCCTGAAGTGACCTTCTAGTTAGCCCACAGCTGGCAGCGCCAAAGGATATTGTGATATTCACTCAGGATGTGCCGATTCAGCCTGGTGAAATTCAACTTGAGAATTCAGAAAAAAATATGAAAGCAAAAGTTTTGAATGAAAAAAAGTTTTAATTTCATCTGCTGTGAATTCATTTTTCCAGGTTGGCCAAAACCCATTCTCTGTAAAGAACCAGTCCTTAATACTGGGTTTCATCACTTCCGGGTCTTCTCAGCTCCCTTTGCTCTAGTGCAAGGAGATACTTCATTATCTACAGTATATACACTTGCAGTATTTCCCTTTGGAATATGGATCACAGACATTAATTTGGATCTACAGATAAGACAAGACAATATCTCTAGAATCATTGATAATAGATATTCTCAAAAGAAATGTTTCCTGAGGCGTAAAACAAATACATGAAGAAAATGAAAGCGACATTGACATAAACAATTGTATCTTAGATTTGTGTTACAATAGTAACCTAAGGCAAAACCTAAACATTTACAGAAATAGTTTGAATTCTACCTCTTTTCTCAGAGAAAAAAGCTGCAGACCTAGCCCGTCTGCCGTCTACGAAATGCAGTCTTCTATAAAGCATTAATCACCCTAATTCTGGGAACTCCTTGGTGATATTCTCATCCAGGTCTCTTCACAATTAAGATATGATCACAAATCTTTTTTTTTTTCTTGTACTGTCTTCTCAGTTTTCTTTCAAAGGTTGATAATTACTTTCCTCCTTTAAACACAAGCCAAATTCAATTCAAATGTAGTCAGAAACAACATTACAAAACTGATGATTTGGGATTCCATGTTTATTACTGCTCAGTGACTTCCATATCAAATATACTCAGTGTACAAATCAAAGGATGTTGTTTGTTTTTGCTGGCTGGTATCTTTGAAAGCTTATCCTGGGATCTGTTAATTAAGCTTTCCTGTGTCTGTGACCTACATTATCAATCATCATCAGTAGTGGTGTTCGATGTTCCAAAGTTTGTTCTTGTTTTTGATAGAGATGCAAGAAAGCTAAGATGCAACATGTTCACCTGCCCTTTTAAAATGAAAACTTTTATTAAGTGAAATCCAGGAATACACTATTGCTATGGTCATATGGATGTATAATTGCCCAAAGTGCAAATTTTACATCTTTTTTTTTGAAGTATGTGGTTCTTGACATCATTGGAGAGAGAATAGTAGATAAGATAGGGCTCTATTTTGTCAGCCCTTCCTTTGTTTCTAAGCTGACCACATACCCTCCAGCCTGCAAAAAGAACGGAAAAAGTACTTTTTAAAGATCAATCAGTTTAAACCGTACTTCTAAATGTGTAAAGCAGTCAAGATCAAGCAAAAGTGGTTGAAAAAGGTTGTGGTTTTGTGGGGGCGTTTTGTTTGATTTAAGCAGCCCTTGCCATCCCTCTTATTCTGTCTTCTGCACCATCCCCTCACTGTGAATGTAGCACACCATCAGGCTGTGAACTGAGTCAGGGAACTGATGCAAACTTTAAAAAGAAACAAACTGAGAAGGATAGTAGATGGTGAGAAAAAATAAAAGGCAGGACAGGGGCTGCTTAAGCAAGCAAAACTGCCAGAAGAGATGCTCATTAAAACATGGTTTGACTGATTGACAGTTGATTAGGGGTTTCCAAGGTCTTGAGTTTTTGCATGTATACCTATTGCCCTTTGTAATTCTAGCTGTAACTGAGCAAATCACTTTTGAGCTCCTCATTCGCCTAGGTTATTAATTTCATTATTAATTTCTCTTAGGTTATTAAATTCTTTAATGTTATGCAGTATTCTTAGTTGGAGAAGTTTTAGAGTGGCAGCTGCGTTTTGGATTTTGTGTTAATGAATGAAATTATTAAGCTGTTTAAATGGATCTTGTTAAAATGTTAAGAGCAACAAGTTGTACAGAAAAAGGAGACCTTTAACGTCAACATAATGTTTTAAAGTTGAAAGCTAATAACTGCTTTGTTTGAATATTAAGACTGCAGCGTCCATGCTCTGACAAATCTCTGCTGGCTGATTACTGCTTCACTAAGGAGAGAGTGTGTTATTAAAAATTCAATTAAAAAAAAAAAACCAACAGATCTTTGTCTTTTAGAACTGCATTACATAAGAAAGAAAGAGTGGAGGGGGAAGTACTGAGAAATAATGCAAGAGAATGAAGGGAAACCACTAAACAGAAATGAGACCAGAGGAGAAAAAGTGGTAGAAGAGAGAGAGTGGGATAATAACAAGGTTATAAACAGCACTAAAATATCTGTAAAGGAATCTTTTGCAATTTAAAGTGCATGTAGTAATTGCAAATACAAACTAAAAATTTTAAGTATTGTGTAGATACTGAAAAAAATGCTTCTGAATTCTCCTTCTGTTCCTCCCAAATGTAATCAGCAGTCTGTCTTGACATTTCAGTGCAGACATGGCCAACCTAATGATGCTGTGAAGAGTTAGAAAGTTCTTTTCTTGAGGGAAATTCAAACTTCTTTGTGTGTAGGTTGATGTTTGCATGTGGTTCATTCATAACACTGGAGAACTAGGTGTGGATCTCCAGGAGGTGTCACCCAAAAAAGAACAATTTTTGTTGCAAAGTATGCTGTGGAAAGTTCAGTATAAATCTTTCTTGAAAGCCCTTCATTAATGATAGGTCATCCAAAATCTCTGTAATTTCTAGTTCTGAGGTAGTATTTTGCTTTTCTATTCCGTATTAGGAAAATGCTGAAAAAAATGTGAATTCTATCCTGATTTATCATGGATAAGCCTTTCATAAAATCCTGTCCTGGTTTCGGCAGGGCTAGAGTTAATTTCCTTCTTAGTAGCTGGTACAGTGCTGTGGTTCGGATTTAGGATGAGAACAGTGTTGATAACACACCGATGTTTTAGTCGTTGCTAGGTAGTGCTTACACTAGCCAAGGACTTTTCAGCTTCCCATGCTCTACCGACTGAGAAGGCTGGAGGTGCACAAGAAGCTGGGAGGGGGCACAGCCAGGACAGCTGACCCAAACTGGCCAAAGGGACATTCCATACCATGTGACGTCATGCTCAGTACATAAACTGGGGGAAGCTGGCCGGGGGGGCCGCTGCTCGGGGACTGGCTGGGCATCGGTCGGTGGGTGGTGAGCAATTGCATTGTGCATCACTTGCTTTGTATATTATTACTATTATTATTACATTATTATTATTATTGTTATTATTATTTTATTTCAATTATTAAACTGTTTTTATCTCAACCCATGAGCTTTCTCACTTCTACTCTTCCAATTCTCTCCCCCATCCCACCGGGGGGTGGGGGTGGGGGAGGAGTGAGCGAGCGGCTGTGTGGTGTGGTGCTCAGTTGCTGACTGAGGTTAAACCATGAGAGATCTTTATTCAGCTTGCTTTTTTCTAAGGCACAAGATCTGGAAAGACTGTCTAAGAATCACCTCTGATGAGAACTGAGAAAGAGGAAGTACGTAGGTATATATGAGACCTCTTGGGCTAAAATAGGTGGCAATCCTTTTGTTTTGCCAGCAAAGACTATAGCAGTCATGAGATCTTCCACAAGCTTTCTCTAACTCTGAAGCCAACAGTTAAATATCATATTTGGAAAGAATGGGAAACTTATAGTGAGTCTACATCTAAAGCCAGATTTAGATTGAAAATTACATTAGGGACAAGAAATAAGTATCAGTCTTCATTGGTAGCATCATCATCATCATCCCTGTTTCTGTTTACGAAGATACGTTGGAGTAGCTTGGTCAGGAACTCTCTGTGATTGTCAAATTTGACCCTAAATTGCTACATGAAGACTGTGTATCAGCATTATCTGTGCAAATGCATATTAAGTATTGAATATTCGTAGCACTTGATTTAGTAGTGCTCCCTCTGGAGTTTTTCTTTTGTGCCAATAAACCAGACTTATTTAGAGCTGTTGGCTCTCATCCACCATTTCCTTGTTAAATGTTTAGAATTTGTAAGTGTTGTGACCCTTTTGCCAATGCAAGTAATCCTAATTCCAGCAATTTATACTTGTCACTTTGCTTTAAACTCCATTACCGCACACTGAAATTCTACACAAAATGGCTTGGAAACCATTTAACAAATAACAAATTGGAGATAGAGGGATTTTGTCCCTTATGTCACAACTAATTATTTATTGGGGTTTTGGTTTTGTGTTGCAGAACTGTGACCTGGCCCAGCAGAGTATCGTTCATATTGTTCAGAGTCCACAGAAGAACAGTCAGAACAAGGATGGGACAGAAGACAACCTTGCTGGAGGTATTCTAAAAGCCTTGGAAAGAGAACCTGAAAGTCTAACTCGTGTAGATCTCAGCACCAGCATCCTCCCATCACTCTCTGCAGGGTTGGCTGTTATTCTGGATGCTACAAAAAACAGCATTTCTCTTCCCTCTGAAAAATCAGGTAAATCAGTGATTTGGTACATTTCAATACACAAACCTGAACATTTGTCTGTTTCTTTCTTAGGGTGAACAGTTCTATACCACAGGAAAAAAAACCCAACATATGGTTTCTTCTAGTTATTAAACAAAAAATACAGCTATATTAAGAGGTGATAAGCATCTGATGTGTTTTCTAGCAAAATAATTTTGCTTTATGGATAAATGGAGTGATTTCTTATGTTGTTCCTGTCTCTAACTTGTATTATGCTTGTATTATTATTTTTACAAATTATTATAAGCTGGCAAAAACCCCAGACGTCTATGAGAAGGCACAAAATAGTCCGTAAAATTTCCATTACAGAAGTTTCCTTAACTAGAATGTTGGGCAGCTTATGCATTGCAAATGTGTTTAATTCCCAATCTGTTGTAATGTTTTCATACCCATATATTTTGTAAAAAATATTTCTATACAATAGACTTATTTATAAAAACATAGCTGGCACAAAATATGATGATGATTCATACTATGGATTTTAGTAGTTCTTCATCCACCAAATTATTACTGAAAATATCTTCTCTTCATCATGAAAAATCATCTGAGGCACAAGTTAAGTTACTGCAAATGGGTTGTGGTGTAATATTTAAAATTGTATATGGGAGAGAAGCTCAAATCAGAAGGAAATATAAGAATCTTTTAGCTATTACATGAATCTTCTCAGAGTAACCCCCTCCTCTCACACAGTCTAGCTAATCTTTACTGACAACCATGTTTGTCCCCAGTGAAGAGACATCATTCTGTGCAATACCAGACTCTGTCGTAATAGTCCATCAGAGATGTCTTTTCAGAAACAACAGTACACAAATACCCTTTATACACAGTATGGAAGATAATACCAAACATATAGGTCCAGAGTACAGAAGATAATTTGTGAATGTAACAGAGATACCTCTGTGACTAACCTGACCACGGAAATGATCATGCTTAGAAAAAGGCTATTAAAACAGTTAAAATAACTTCTAGAGAATTTCTTAAGTAACTCATGCAGAAAATATACAATTCATGGGAGGGTCACAGAAGTATTCCACAACTGACTTGATCAACCTCTCACTGCCAACTAATGATGAATGAGTGCAGTTTAGGAACAAATTAGTACCCAGCTTAATGATCCACATCTCCCAATCTGAATGAATAATGAGATAAGAGGGGCGCATGCCAATTTAAATCTGGTAAACTAAGGAGAGTGTTTCAGGCTGGACATACTGTCAAAAGCAGGGCCATAGTGTGAGCTTTTTAATACTACTCCTTATTTATTTTTTCACTACTCAACATAATATGCAACAGGGCTTTAATAGTTGGGCTAGACTTTACAGAATAGTTTATACGTGTGTAAGGCCTTTTAAAATTTGTCATGTGGTGTGTTTTTCCACAGACTGCAAACTCCTTGAAGCCAAGTACAAACTGATAGGTGTCTTCCATTGCAGCAAATACTTTCATGGCAGAATGACAGCTGAGGAAAAAATGTATTGAGAATATATGTGGACTAGTTTATCTATGATTACGTTAAACAGATTTTTTTATCATAAGAAAAAAAAAAAGAAGAGCCACTCCAATGATTGACAGTTCTGCCTGCAAGGATGTTAGTAACAAGTACTTTTTAAAAGTCTGTTATCTTCTCCTTGGCTTGTTTTGACTCTCACTATAAAAACTTGTCCTTGTGTCTGTTCAGCCTCACCACTTTTGTTCAATATGGGGGATTTTGATGCTTTTGTTATTAGGGATTGAGGTGGGTTAATTTGTAGTCACATAATTCACTGAGTTAAGGAGTAGTCCGGGTTAAAAATAATCCAGCAAGAAAAATAGAAAAAAAAGATTAATCCAGAGATCAGTTTTCCAATCAACTTTACTGGGTAGAGGCGATTTTCTTTGGCACAGCTGAGATGAATAATAGTAGTGGGAATGAGTGACTGAAGGCTGCATATGCCACCACTGCCACTTGAAATTATACTTACCAAGCTATTGTCTTAGAAGGTGGATGGTTGTTGCGGTGATCAGTCTACAGTAGAAACCTGTACAGTAGAACCAAGTATAATCTTCTTTTCTGTGTGTCAGAGATCACACGCAATGAGCAGAGGACAAATTTAAACGTACAATTTAGAGGCAGGGTATTCATTAATTAATTATTGTTTAGCCTAACATGCTACACAGCTATTCCGAAATTGTAGCAGTAAACGCTGAGACTTCATCTCTTTCTGAACCCTAAGGTATTTCTGTTTGTTACCACAGGATGCTGACCCTATGTCCCTGCCCTGCTTTTGTTTTATTTGCCCTCCTTTGGATTCTGAGGAAAAACATCTGTGGAACTTTTGCATCACAAAAGCTTCTCCCAGAAGCTTTTGCAGCATTTGACTGCAAAAGTAGTATTTTTGAAATGTTGACTTGAATGCTTGGAGGTCAAACTGTAGAATTTTACCAGACAATCCAGGAGAGAGACAACTCTTGTTATATTGTAACTGCTGTTATATAAGTAATATACTTAAGTAGTATAAACTGCTGCACTTGATCAGACAAAAACCCTTATAGCCTGGCATCCTGTCTCCACTAAGGGGCATTATTTGCTCCTTGCAGGAGAGCATAACAGGACACCCTCCTCCCAGCTCACCCCCACTTTAGTGGTGAGTAATGAAAGCAACTCTTGACTGGTCTGGAGAACCATCGTACTTACATTGTGTTTTTAATGTAGAATGTGTGTTTGTCCATGAGAAATTCAGACGTTTGAAAGTCATTAACAGGCTGAAAAAGATAGGAAAATGCATCTAAATAATGTCTGCATCAAAGATTTCCAGGTTTCCTCTCTTTGCAGGCAAATGTAATAGAAATGCCTTTTTCTGTCTGCTAAATAACACCTTGCATGATTTCTAATAAGGATGTGAAAAAATCTCGGCACAGGACTTTCATCCTACCTCACCCACAGGACTTTCATCTGCCTCATCCCCACCTAATTTACAATCTGTCCAATATCTGGGACTAAGTGCTTTGGTAAACAAGGTGTAAACAAATCAACTATGTTCCTTAATGGTTCCATATCAGTAAATGCATATATATGGTGAAGGGATTTTGCCCTGAGAAACAGTGAATCTGAAAAACATAAGGGTTCGTATGGCTCATCAGCTGAATATGAGAATGCATCATGATGCCAGGTCCAAGAAAGCTAATACGATCTTTGGAAGTATAAACACAAAACAGAGTGGAGTGGAGAGTATGTCTCTTCTCTGCTTTTGACGCTTGCATAACTAAACTGGAATGTAATGCACCATTTTGATGTCTAAACTTCAGGAAAGCTGCTGAAAAAACTCTTAGAAGGTTCAGGAGAAGAGTCACAAGAATCCTACAAAATTGCAGGTCGTGATTGGCTTATATATGTTGATATAATCTCGTGGCATCCGTGGGAATGGAAATTTTATAACAGGGGAGTCTTAGACCTTACAAGGTATTTTGGGATTTAAGCTTTCATTGTCTACAAACTGAAAGCCAGCAAATATAAATATCACACACAGATTTTAACTTGCCAGGAAGTCAACCACTGATGCAAGTTATCCCGGCTTATAAGAATTCTCCGTATTTGGCCATTTAAAAATAAATATAGGACATTTTTCTGAAACATATGTCCAGCAACAAAGATTGGGCTTCAACCTAGAAGTAGTATGGACTGTGATAGGCAGGATGTCAGACTGCAGAATCGCATTGCTTCCCTCTCTAAATGTATTTATCAGCTACCCATGTCAAGCAAATTTGTAATCTCAAAAAAACCCAACCCAGGTTAGTTTGACAGCATCTGTTTTCTGTAAACTGATATTAATGTTGTTACCTACTTCATTGCCAGTTTAATCCATTATCAGCTGGTTTATTATTTTGTCTGAATCGATTAGATGTGGTCATCATTACTTAGGTCTTTTTCTTTACAACTTTTAAATAGCGCTTATCTGGTCAGTTCCCTAGAATATCCTGGTGTTCTTTAGCTAGCCTTTTAAAAATGCTTGCATGCAAGTTGTCTCTGTCTCCTTATCTTTCCATGTTCTTCTTTTCACGGAAGCGTAAATAAGGTACTAGTATATATATATATTCGGCCACAACAACCCCATGCAGCGCTACAGGCTTGGGGAAGAGTGGCTGGAAAGCTGCCTGGCGGAAAAGGACCTGGGGGTGTTGGTCGACAGCCGGCTGAACATGAGCCGGCAGTGTGCCCAGGCGGCCAAGAAGGCCAATGGCATCCTGGCCTGTATCAGAAATAGCGTGGCCAGCAGGAGTAGGGAAGTGATCGTGCCCCTGTACTCGGCACTGGTGAGGCCGCACCTCGAATACTGTGTTCAGTTTTGGGCCCCTCACTACAAGAAGGATGTTGAGATGTTGGAACGTGTCCAGAGAAGGGCAACGAGGCTGGTGAGGGGTCTGGAGAACAAGCCTTATGAGGAGCGGCTGAGGGAGCTGGGGTTGTTTAGCCTGCAGAAAAGGAGGCTGAGGGGAGACCTCATCGCTCTCTACAACTACCTGAAAGGAGGCTGTAGCGAGGTGGGTGTCGGTCTCTTCTCCCAAGTAACTGGCGAAAGGACGAGAGGAAATGGCCTCAAGTTGCGCCAGGGGAGGTTTAGATTGGATGTAAAGAAAAACTTCTTTACTGAAAGAGTAGTTAAACATTGGAAGAGGCTGGCCAGGGAAGTGGTTGAGTCACCATCCCTGGAAGTATTTAAAAGACGGGTAGATGAGGCGCTTAGGGACATGGTTTAGTGGGCATGGTGTTGTTGGGTTGATGGTTGGACTCGATGATCTTGGAGGTCTCTTCCAACCTTAATGATTCTATGATTCTATGATTCTATATATTGACTTAGGTGTGCCAAGCTGAAAATTCTAGCAAAAAGAGGGACTGATTCTTTTCCACCTAGTTAGGAAATGCTTTACCAAAACTTAATATATGGTAAAACCTGCTGTCCTTACAAATAACACAACTATGCGTTAGGGCAGGTAAA